CACACACGCACTTCAGCAGAGGCCACGCCTCCTGCAAGAAACGATTCTCTATTGCATCAAGTCCAGACCCTCGTACGAAGCAAAGTGAAGGACAAGGGTCTGGTTTTAACCAGGCTAACAGATTTGTAAACTTTCCCTTAAAAAAAAAAATCACAGAGATCTACTTCAGTGATGAACATAAACAAAACAAACAGGTTCTGAGAGCCTGGAATGGACCCACAGCAGGTTTTAATAACAGCAGAGATGTTAATGCACTCATTCATCGAGCTACAGGCAAAGTGCTTGACTTTATTTTTTTTGCAAAGCAACATGTTTGTCTTCCTTCTTTKCCAGATGAGAAAAGYGGAAKTAATCATCCTTGAAAGTTCTGTGCTGTTCTGATCACTGCTGCCCCTCCCTACACAAAGACCAGTGGATGGGAGTCACAGATCATGCACAGTCATGTTTCCACAACCAGAATAACATGATCACAATATGTTTCCATGCATCCGGTTCAAATGATCAGTTGGCATAAAGCACGTCTCTGTTTGGATTACAAATTCATTCTGATCGGGCTGAACTGGATCAGAATATTCCAGTTGTTTATATGACAAGTTTTTTTCCACTTGGCTGTTTATTCTGATTTTTTTTGGTTATWATCTGTAAATGTTTATTACAACATTTTACAGATTATGCATAAGGTTCATAAAAATGTCTTACCTTCGATCATCCAATCAAATTTTAAGAGGGAAAGTTATAATCTTAAAGGACTAGAGATGTTTGTAAAACCTAAAGTTTGAACAAATTTGAAGGATTGGTGTGCTTTGGTCCAAGAAATAAGACTCTGGAATAATCTGGAAAGTGATTATAAAAATGCTGCTTCAATGTTTTTGTTTAAGAGAGTGATAGAAGTTAGTTTGTTAAAGAAATTTTATGATGTGTATTCATAAGAGCTGTGGTTTAAGAAGGAAGTGAAGGTTTTGTTTTTGTTTTTGTTTGAAATTATTTCTTGGAAAATAGGAGCAACTATAATGTTTTTTTTTTCTTTTTTCTGCTGTCTTTCATTTTACTTGTGATTTGTATTTCTCTTGTATGTAGAATTTGTTTTGTTTTTAAATTAAATGAATGAATAAATCAATAAGTGTATGTAAGGGCAGAGCCGGCTGACGTGGAAGGGCAGGAAGGCCCACAGAGGTGGGTCCAGGTCTCGGCTGTTTTATCCTGATGTGGATGGGAGGAGAAATGGAGCAGGAGTGGTCCTGAAGAATGAGATTGCCAGGAATGTGGTGTCAGACAGGGTGATGTTTCTGAAGGTCTGTTTTCCCCCAAAATGTGAAGGACAAATAGGAAATTAAACCAAGGGTGAAAATCTGGATGGAGCTGGTTTAAATGTGTGTTTTTTTTCCCTCTGACAATCTGCTGATTAATGGGTGAGTCTGCCCCTCCTTTTCACCTCCTCATGTCTGCTTCTGCTCATCTTAGGGATGACAAACATGTTTTGTGGCAGAATATGGGAGTGCTTCATGACTTGAAACAGCATTTAAATTATAATCACAATGTGAAAATGCTCAAATTTTGCCCAGTGGAGCAGAACAGCCATGACACACACACACACACACACACACACACACACACACACACACACACACACACACACACACACAAACATCACATCCTGCATCCATCTCAGTGATCTACATCTACAGCATGATGCTGTTCCTGCTTTATAAGGAGACATTGTCACAACTACCAGCTCAGGTATATTCCACAACTCTCTGCCCCCCCACCCACACACACACACAGACACACAAACCCTGTGATGTCTTTGTTTTACCTCTGCAGGTGTTCTTTATCCTGTTCTCGGTCTTGTTTCTGTCCTCCTCACAGGCCCGTCTCCATCTCTGTTTTCTTCAGCATCTTCCCAGTGCTTTCAGCCGACTCTGCTCCTTTCACTGTGTTTTTGTACAGAATCTGCAGTGCTACATCAAACACACCCTTGGAAGATCTGCCTCCGACTCCTCAGTCCCTCCCTTTGCTGCTCTGTGATTGGCTCCTTCACAAAGATGACATCAGCCTGTTTTATTACAGCTTCACTCTCCCTTCCTCCCCCCCTCTGTGGGCTATTCCCTTGGTACCTAAAGCTCCGCCCCTTTTCCTTCCCTTACCCTTCATCTCTGTCTGTCATCTGTCCCTTTATTCCTTTTGAAATTTAACATGAGGGGCCAGCTTATTAAACAGTCAGAAGCTAATATGTTAAAAAGAATGTTAATTATTGAAATAATATTAATAAAATAAAAATATTATAATAAGAATTTTGTTTTGTGCATGTGTTCAGGGGAAAAATCCTTTCTAAATGTAAGCTCAAATGGCTTTTTTGGCACAATGACAGACAAAGCATTACTGGATCAGTTTCTGATCAAATTCAAAAGATCTTTTTGTTCCTTAGGAATAATTAAGTTAGGTAGAATTCTGCACATTTAATTTATTTATATCACTTAATAAAATAATCCCTAAAGAAATGATAAACAATCTCTAACTGCCAAAGGCAAAGCAGCATAATGATTGTTTTGTCTGTAGTGTTAGCAAAATATCTAATGAATCACTGGATGTATTTTAGGAAAACTAAAGGCATTGTTTAACACAAAAATTTAATTTACCTTCAATCTATTACCACTTGAGTTTTTTTAAAGTTTTTTTATTTTAATTTTATTTAACCTTTATTTAACCAGGCAAAACATTAAGAAAAACTTTTTATTTACTATGTCAGCTTGGCGGGTACCAGAGACACCCAAGTTACAATTCTCCATATGACATTATGATCAGAGGTTTAAAGGGATCTCTGATTAGTTGTAACATTAAACTTTATTTGATAAACATTTATTTTGACTGTAAAATAAAGACTGTAAAAATACTGTAGGTTGTTTAGTTTACCAGGCAAAACATTAAGAATAACTTCTTACAATGTCAGCTTGGCGGGTACCAGAGACACCCATAAGAAGTAGATTTCAGCTGGGGCCCATGCCTCTGTGTGTCCCTAGAACTGCCAATGATTTTAGGTCAATATTTGTAAAATTAAGTAAATTATAGCCGTGGCGGTGGTAGCCATCTTAATTTGGGTTGACTTCAACCCCTATTTAGTCATCTGATCTTTATAAAGTTTTATTAAAGCCTGTCAGTTTTACCATGATATATTTTGCTAACAGCCAGACACACAGGAACAGTCAAAAGTTTCTCTGGCTTTTCTTTTCTTTTTTTCTTTCTTTTTTTGTGATTTTTACGTTATCATGATGCATTACTTTCCAAAAGCTGAGAAAAACAGCTGAATCTTTCTCATTTCTCAGTGTTCAGATGCGACCCCATCACCCCATCTAGTGTTCATTCAAAACATTTCAGTTTTTAAAGCAGAGGAGCCCAAAGTGGGGCCCGCGGGCCAAATTTGGCCCACAAAGCCATTTGATTTGGCCCACCAACAGTTGCCAAAGTTACAAGGTTGTAACCTATTATCCTATGTAGAAACATAGTATTTCCATTGGTCAAATGACTATAAAAGGGCTGTAG